CCACATGCAGCTACCCACTTGACTTCCATTTCTTGATTTCTGGGTACCCTGAAATCAAGAAATGGAAGTCAAGTGGGTAGCTGCATGTGGGTTGACTGATAAAAATGACATACCGAAAATAGTCATTTGTTCTAATCATTTTAGATCATGTGACTATTTGCCATACAAGAAATTAAGGCCTACTGCTGTTCCTACAAAAAATTGCAGTTCGAGTCACAAATCATCCGACTCTTCGGACATTTCTAATTATTCGATGGTATGTATGATGATCCGAAACTAAGGATCGAAACGTTCGACTCGACACGATATCTATGTTATAGATTTTAAGATTATATATTTTGCGCACTGCTAACAGCGTTGACTCTTAATAGCCTTTATGTATTTACTTAATTTTTTGTATTGTTTTAAAACATATAAGAGTCTATAATTCAATTATATTATTAATTTATTAAATTTTTTATACATTTTAATTGTATTTATTTCAAATCATGTGGCGTCGAGTGGCTCAATAAATTTTATACATATGTATATAAGTAGCAATTAACATTTTGCTATTCAAATTTGCCCTAATATCATTAAAGTACCTACTGTGTAAATATTTACAAACATTCCTTTAATATGCAATGTATATATCTCTCTTAGGAGGCTGGAATAGAAAGAAATGCTTCATCAGTGGAATTACGTAAAGCTAAGAAGGATCAGCGTCTAAAACGACGTAGTTTTGTTACACAAAATCAAAAACTGTCAGATTTATCGAATAAAGCTGACGTATCACTCGCTTCTGCTCATTCTATAAATTCTTTTAAAAAGTAACTTTCCATTCCCTGAATATTTGATAGTAAAAAATAAAAATGCGTGAATTATGTAAAATTTTAAATATATATTTAAAATTTATGAAACACAATAAATACCTCAAATAAAATGCAAAAATATATAAATAAAATAACGTTATTGCAGATGAATTTCTTTTTTTTTGTATTTATAAATGAAAATACAAATTTGATAAAATATAGTATAATCATTAAATGAAATGCGTAATTTTATAATTATTTCGTAATTACATAATTCACAAAACTTCTGGTTTATAAATATATATAGAATAATTAATTATATAGTATATTAAATAACAATATATGAACTTCAAATATAACTTTTATTACATATATGTTTTACTTTTTTTTCTAATTCGTCTAATAGTATTTTTTCTTTTTATTTCTAAATTTATATGCCTTAATCGAATGTATGTCCTTGTTCGAACCAAGCATGCTAACACATTCCTTACAATTACAAGGAATTATTTATTTTGTATGCAGCTGTGTGTGTGTATATATATATATATGGTAATATATATAAATTATATATATCAGCTACGGTCATAATATGGCTTTGCTTAAAAGGGGATATCCAATCAGAATACGTATCAGACTGCCAATCAGAAATTCGGACATTATTGTCGAAATATAGGACTCTAGTTACTGCGCGAAGTGTGAAGTAACAATACATACATTTGGACCATTAATACATGGTTGCTGTAATCTACAATATGATAAGAAAAATAAATATGACATTACGTAATAGATGATAACTGTTATGTATTAATGAAACTGTATTGTGTTAATTAAAAATATAACATATAATAAAGATATGAATGATTAGTCATAACTGTACATTGTACATGGTTAAGTGACTTACATGTATAACTGATAAAAAAATATACAAAATATGTTAAATTATCATTATTACAAGATGAATATATTGTATTTCCACCATTGAATTAAATATTACTACCGACAAAAAATATAATCACTCTGTTTACGTGATATTATGTCTTTTCTTTCACAATCATTTTTTAAAATATAATGACCAACATAATCTTTTATTTGTGTCAAAAATACTTTTACGAACAAGAGCAGAAGAATCTCATACAATTTCTAGAGTTAAACCTTATCGCACTGATATTAAATGAATTTGTAAATGAAATTGCTCTACATATCACATTTTTCAGATACTTTAGCCAAATTGACATTTGTATTTTTTAGGTTGAATTTTATTAAAAATGTGAAGTGGAGAGTAACTTTGTTTACAAATTCCTCTTCAGCAATGAAAAATCTGCAAGAATTAATTGGCTTTGTGGTAAACTAAAATTTAAATTTGTCATGTGCAATTAATCCAATATCGAACGTCTTAAAATTAAAGTAGACAGTTTAAAGTAGTTTATATCTGCGAAAATTTTCATTTAACATTGAAGCAGCAGACAAGATGCCCCTTGGACGTCCAGAGGATGACTGCAGGATGTTCTGGAGAGATGCAAGAAGTATAAAAACCATGCAAAAAGTGCAGTTGAAAAGAACAGACCATTGACTCAGAATAAAGTTGAGTCAATGAATTGTATATGCTATAACTTTAGTTGATGCTTATGACAATTAAAAACCGCAATACACACTCTGGCATAACGCATAATTATTTGATAAATTTTAAAGATTTAAAGGTTATAAAGGCTCTGTCTATAGTATTTTATTCTAAATACATACATTTTTTCTATATGTTCAACTTATTGAGAGTCGATATTTTACATCGGATTGTTCAATGCGAAAAAAACAACAAGCTGCACTTGTAAGGGATTTATGTAATTTAGTTGAGTTGAGAGTATCTAATATATAAAGATAAATATACATATACACCAAAATAGAAGATATACATCTTATCTTAAAATATACATATATATATAAAATCCGTTTGCTATGATTTAAATACATAAAAATAGAAATAAGAATGTGCCACATTGACATTGTCTAATTCCTATTCGCTATATATATAAAAATAAATATCGAATAATCATTTAGAATACAACAAAAGTGAAATGGCACGATGAAGAGTAAAAGTGCTTTCTAATTCACATGTAATAAGATTGCGTATCGAGCTTTTTCCTTTAAAAGTCTCATAATTTTTCTTTTCAACCATTTAACCAATCAGCTTGAGAAAAGAGGTTCTCGATATATATGCGCAATTCCTCACTACATCAGAACAGCAGTTTTACTGTCAATTGTACATATACAATATGCGCGTGTGTTCTAAAATCATCTATTTTACAAAATCTCCTTCAAACCAGTCGATTTCGCACTTACTTCCCACAGACGGAGTGCTACTTCGGGGTCCAGATCTTTTTTAGAGACGTAAAGTTTACAATCGCGATACAGATGTCCACTTTCTTCAGACAGTAACGGTTCAGTTGCACAATGCAATACCGTTTGCGCACCCTGTAAATACTGATTTGTAATAGAAAGTAATAATTCAGTATGAAATATTTCAGAAATATTTCCAAAATATTTTGTTGCAAGATTTGAAACATATATATGGAACCAGGAAATCAGAGTTTTGAATTATACTTTTTCTCTTACAATACTTATACAATTTCTAAAATATTTTTCCAAAATATTTTAATGTAATATTTTAAAATGTTTTACAAATGTTTATGAAATATTTAACTGAAAATGTTTTAAAAAATGATTTACTATTTTTCTAAATAGAGTTTAATAAAAATAATTTTCTAAAAGTGGATCATATAAGGCCCTTAGTTGCCAAGTGGCATAAGCCTGCCTTAAGGGAATCATATCTGATTCGTATATTTACCTGATTTGCAGTGCGTAGAAACATAAGAGCAACAGGCGAGAAAATGATGTAATGAAACCAGCTTCTTTTCACATTTCTGAATAAACCAGTGTAAGTAAATCCAGGGCATACCATGTAAACATTAACGCCGGTATTTTCTGTTCGTTTTGCAAGCTCAGTGGCAAAGTATGCATTTGCAAGTTTTGAATTACAATAGCCAGGATTCATTCTGCTTTTTACTGGTAAACCTTTCTCACCGTTCAAATTTGAAAAATCTATTACTCCAGATTCCAAAAGCTTAGATGTCACTATCACTATTCTGTATCGAAAAGTTTTATTTTATCACTTGTTTTGTCACTCTAGAATATTAGATATTACTTTATACTAACCTGCTAGGAGCACTTTCCTTCAGACGATCCAAAAGTAAGTTGGTGAGCAAAAAGTGACCCAAATGATTGACTCCAAAATGAATCTCAAATCCATCTTTTGTCAACGCACGATCTTTCAGAGGTGCATATACCCCTGCATTATTGATCAATACATGAATTTCAGAAAATTTCTTTAGCACTTCATTGGCAAATTCTCTGATCGATAAGAAAGATGCAAGATCCAGCTTCATAGGAATCTGTATAAAAATAGGTAAGTTATAAAATCATATACACATTAAGTTAGAAAGTAAGAAGGACAGATAAAAAGTAATATAGAGATAGAATTGCATAATTCGAATGCATAATTCGATATGTAAAGATTACTGGTCCAATTTTATCAAGGAAATTATACGATTACCAGTTCGCCAGTAGATATCTTGCTGCGTATCTCTGCTATGGCATTCTTCGCGCTCTGTATATCCCTGCAGGCCATGATGATCGTGGCTTTTCGCTTGGCCAGTTCCTTCGCCGTTTCCTTGCCGATGCCGGAGTTGGCGCCGGTCACAAGGAACACCCGGCCTTGTAGATTGCTGGTGCTCTTGCACCTTCCCCAAGTGCGCTCTCGGCATTTACGGAGCAAGCCGATCAGCATGACCATCGGAAGTATGAAGTAACACCACGAGGATACCATATTGACGGTGACTATCAATCTCGCGGCATGAGACTATTTTGTTTGTTCGAAATGTAACACACGTTGATCGTGGTTGGTCGCTGGCTTAAACGTCGCTAATACATACTAACGTTAAACATGACACAATTACGCGCTTTCACGTCGGTTCCAACCGAATGGAGCTTCTAATTTGTCGCGTACAACAGCATGATTGCAACCAAACGCACAGAACATACCAATTCAAGGGCAAATTTTATCTTCAAACACTCCACATCTCGGACAATCTCAAGTAAAATAATTGAAAATAATCACTGCAACATCACAAGTGCCGCCGCAAATTCCTACGCGGAACTTTATTTACAAGCGTGATGCGCAGGCGCTACAACGCAAATACTCCAGCCAGCATACGCAAGTTCTTGACTGGTTCTTGACTTCTTCGCGGAGACCCTTGAACATCCCTTTCGATGAGAATTCTCGGAACTTCTTCATCTCAGCTGGCGTGCTATTTTTCATCACGTCTCATCGTACTGTTTTCATGATATTTTGATAATTTTTGAAATTTATTTCAACTTCAAGTTTACTTGTATCTAATTTCCAACATATCGACATTCGAGAATTTTTAATATCGATATCTATAAAGTAATCGATAATAGGTTTGTCGCGTTGCTTGAAATCCTCAAAATAAATGAATATTGATTTAGGCTTTAAAGAGAAAGAAGATATATTAAATACAAAATATATAAGTAATGTAAATGTTCTTCACCTACAGAGGTAAAGAAATAAAGGAAAAAAACTAACAAATAAGTTACTTTGATTGCTTTGTTAGGTTAGAAAGTAGTTAAATATTGTATAAAACAGTAAAAGTTTCCTTAGGTCTGTTCTTTTTAGAGCTAAAGTCTTTCTTCCTCTTCTTTCCACGTTGGAGAGAAAAAGAAAAAAGATGAACTGTACAAGTTCGATTAAAAAGAACAAAGTCTTTACATCTCATTAGAGATGCAATAGACTATTAAATATACACACATTAACATCACTAATATGAAGTGCTATTGAAAATAATGTAATTTAAAAAAAAAATTGAATCATAGATATTTCATATTTTAGTTAAACCGAATGTGTGTAATGAAAACACAGTGTTTAAGTATGTATTTGATTTATTTAGTATATTGAATGCAAAATATTGATGTATTTTGAAAATGTATTTGGCATTCTGCAACGTTCGACTGTATACACTCATGCGCATTCTTCACTTATCTTCCATCACACTTCTTTGTCAATTTTATAAAATAAATCAAATTGTAAAAATTAAATTGTTGCTTTATGTTTTATGCAAATTAAAGACGTATAAATCTATGGATCAGTAATATAAACATCATATGTTCCAATAAATTATTTATATTTTTACAATAAATGTTCACATGATAATGCTGCAATTACTTAAAATACATAATAATAATAAGCAATATGTTAAGGCATGCGCGATTCTTCCACGTACAAATCAACATAATCATTACAGATGGAATATATATATATATATGTGCATATATTTTCATGTATAAAGACAGTTTCTCATTCCTTTTAAATTCATATGCTCTGTGTGTATGTGTGTGTTTACACATATATGTGTATAGTCATATGAATACTTTCATATGACTTAGCAATAACATTGGTTTGAAAGAATTAATAAGCATTGTGTAGGTACACACACACACACACATACATTATTTAACAAGTTATAAAGTATATTTTCTCTTTTGCGATTCTCAATATAAAAATATTTCTCATTTATAGTTACGGCCATTTATCATCACAATCTGATACATTGGGCATTAAAAAGATTTTCGCGAGAAGTAAATTGAATTTATATTTTATTACGAATAGAGTGTTTTTTCCATCCATTCTTCCAAAGTGAATGTGGCTGTTTGGGTTTTATCTGGATCTCTCTCTCTAAAAATATCTACAACAATGTAATAGCTGAGATTTTATCTTACGTTATATTAATATTATTAATAATATTATATGTATATATAACTATTGACATCAGTCAATAATTAATTTGTACATAACGGTACACTTGTTAACAAAACATGTTAACATATATTAAAAGGAAATATATATATTTTAATAGTTAATATATAAATGATATATAGAGATTGATTATTAGATAAAAAAAAGTTTCACTTACCAAGCATTGTTTTAAGTCTGATCGCACACATTATGTAATCGTCGAAAGTAATCTTGCCCTCTTTAGTACCATAACGATGAACCAATATATTAAGAATATGATTGTTTAAACGATATCCCGCGCTATTTAACGCTTGTCTTAATTCAAATGCACTTAAATATCCCGATTCGTCTCTGTCGTACAACTTAAAAACAGCCTAAAATATTTATAATATAAAAACATTAGGCATACAAGCATCTTACAAGATAAAGAATTACAAGATAAAGAATTGAAAGCTTTCGCAATTACCCTCCATTTTCTAATGTCATTCCACAGCAATTTAAATTCTTCAAAACCAAGTTTGCCGGAATGATCTGCATCTAGCATAGCAACCATACTGCGACATACATCTTTACTGAAACCTCTGTCGTGAGTTTCTGCAATTTAAAAAAAAAAAAACTCATTTCATCTATTGTAATCTTCATATAAGAGATAAAATGTCTAACATAATAATTTTCAAACACGTACAAAAAATTCACATAAAATTAAAATAAAAACGTAAGACGTTTTATTACTATTATCTTACAGTTTTTCAAACGTGTTAAAACAGAGATGTTTTCAATTATATTATGTAATAGAGATGACAAATTGAACGATTATGATACAGGTATATTGCAAACTTTACACGTGTGCCGACGAATTTAAGCAATTCGTTAATGTTTCATTCTCTGTTAATCGAAAAAACATGCGGTAGGTATTTTTCATCGAAAAGTTTTGTCCTACCTTGTGGGAGACATAAAGTATCAACCTGCTAACATCATTTTGACATTGACACTATCAGTTCACCATACAAATGCTGATGAAAGCGCGTTTCGTGTGTTATAGGGATACATAATTAAACAAATGTGATGTAATCATCACGGCGTAATACAATTGGTAGAACAATCCTGTGGTAGGAGGTGTGTTTGTCTTACCTACGGGCTTATTGTACTGTTCATTATTACAAACAATGCCGCACAGCAGTGAGATGAGAGTGTCGACAAGCGAACCATTTCCTTCAACAGTTTCGGGAACATGTGCCTCGCTATGATGCGCCAATTGTAGTAACTCTACCCGTAACACACAGCTACATGTTAGCTTCGAGTTTTACATACGTACACTTGGGCCATAAGAATTCGTAACATTCATATCTTGCCTCAAATTACAATTTATATTTTTCTAATTTTTACATAATCTCTAATAATCTAGTTCCTTTAAGAATTAAATTATTTTTAACAGAAACTTATATATCATTTATATAATATAAAGTCTATTCTTGTTTATTAAAAGATTCTATTATAATTGTTTTCAACTTTTCAAATAATTTTTTAATTATCTAATTAAATAAAGAAATTTTTATAATATTGATATTAGACTTCTACCAATTATTTGAAGGACCCAAATGTATTTATGCATTGTAGATACAAATTACAAGGTAAAAGTTAAGCATGCAGAATTGTTTACATGATTATTAAATGATCATAAAATGCTGTACAGCGTGCTGAAAGAATAAAGTAATTTATAAGGAACAGCAAATTTGTAGTAAATTATTAATTGGCCATCAAACTAAAAATAAACGATGCAGGTGATAAAATATAAAAAATACTAGATTAATGACAAAGCGTGATTTTAAAAATGTATGATTCTATCAATGATTATAAGAAACATCGAGCAAATTAAGCATAAAAATTACGAAAAGCTACAAAGCAAAGCTCTTAATTAGTATTTATTCTAAATAATTAGAATAAAATACGATCATGGACGGAAACTATACATACTCGTATTTAGAACTGTACATACTCTTTCTTTCATACTTATTTTTACGTAAAGATATATCTCAGAAGCAGCGCGCAGACAATATTTACCTTTTCTCATGGCATAATCTAAGATATCTTTCAGTTCCATCCAGTCCACTTCCAAATCATCGCCAGCAAGTTTCTTGAAGAATTCTCGGACTTTCTCGCTATTGCGATCTTGCTCAGGTTCATCGGGAACCTAAAAAAACAGAAAAAACATTTCGTTATGAAATATGAAAACAATCGTAATCTATGAAAAAGTTCTGCTTCTTTCTCTTTCATGAAATTTAAATCAACTTGTTTTGTGATTATTTTTAAATTACAATATTTAGACCCAACTTAAGATATTTTGATTTAATTTTTTTTCATTAATACATAAAATTGACATATACGAGTCATTAAAAATAGTAATGACATCTTCTCAAAGATATGAAAATATTGTTATTAATCAATTTGATTTCTACTATATATGAGCTCCCTAGTTAACAAGTGGCATAAGTCTGCCTTATAAGCATAAACCTTATGCCACTTGGCAACTATAAGGGACTTATATATTCCCAATATACTTATTATGCTTATTTATATTCTGTTCTACACGTATTTTTGAATCCAAGACTATATTCACTAGGGTGTTCACTAGTGTTCACACCAGATATTATTTTATCTTTGTTTAACATTTAGTAAACAACAAGGATAAAATAATAATACCCTAAATTTCTATTTCATTTCTTACACATACAAAAAAAAATATTATTAGCTTTGTGTTGTCTCAACATACAAGCATGCGTTTTACTTACATTATCTCCATTTTGATCTTCTTTACCATCCGCAGGATTAATTACCTAAAAGCGAAGCAATGTAAACGTGCGACTCGTTAATAATCAGTTACCAATGTGAGCGACATTCTTTACATAACGTGAATCAATCATTAGACGGTACGACAGCATTAAATTTTGTAAGCATTAGTTGAACACAAGACTTAATTGCATAACGTTAGTTAATTCTACGGTTTTTTGTGCAATTTAACAAAATTAATTAAAAAAAAAATTGATTTAATGCATTACTAATCTATGATTACACTCTTTTAACACACAATGCATATTTTTATCTGAATTATTAGTGCTGTCAGTGTCAGTGCTGTGAATTATTAATAGATACCTAAGTTGTGTGATTCTAAGTTGTGTGATTTGTCACGTTAGTATGATTTATCATCTTAAACAGCATTAGTATAAGCTGACAATCCAATGTGTAAGAACTTTGTACACAATTATCCATAAAATTTCAAATAAAACTTCCTGATATAAACATATGATAAGAGATTTATGACGAGATTT